GAGTGAAAGGAGCACGTTATACGTTATAAACTTAGGTATACTTAAGATCATTCGTTCAAACTCCCATTGGATCTCACAATCCACCTTCCTTTGGGGTCAGCGTCCTTGCTGATACTCGTTCTCCTCTCCAATCGATGTGGGATCTTACAATCCACTTCTCCTTCAGGGCCCAGCGTCCTCGCTGACACTCTTTCCCTCTCCAATCAATATGGAATCTCATCCATTGTTTCTTGATGCAAATTTTTATAGGATTAAATGATTGTACACAAAATTTTTTGAGGTCGAGAAACAACTCAAAGTTAGATATCAGCCACTTACATGGGCAATCATTGCCAGGAGATTCTTATGTTTCTTTTCAATTTATCCCATATGTAGCCTCTTGAATTCCAACTGCTATCAGTAATTGCCTTTTTGTATTTAAATCCGTCCCCGATGTTTGATAATGCTAGATTAGGTGATGATATGGTTTCGATGTTTGCAGAACACGGGTGACTCTCAAACGAGACGGTGTAGTATTAGATTTGGTGCCACCGCCCACTAAAGTTAACAACTTGATATTTGGAAGGACCTGGGTCGATTCACCTGGAGAGATGATAATGACCAATTTAGCTACGGGCGATAAAGTTGTACTATATTTTCAACCATGTGGATGGTTCGGGTAAGAATCGTTTTCCTATCACTCTCTTATCGTTATAAGTTCTGTACTGATCGCGATTGTTATAGGTAGATGGCATTATAATTGAAAAATCTGACTGGTGTTACTGTATTCATATGCAGAATCTTGGGTAGTTCATAAAAGTGTTTAAGATGTTTAACTTAATCCTTGATAGTAATTGACGCCACGATCCATCTCACCGTTAACTGTTATTTTTTATTGCAGTGCCGGGCGTTATGAAGTTGATGGTTATGTTTATAACTCGGCCGAGGAACCCAAAATTTTGATGACGGGGAAATGGAACGAGTCTATGAGTTACCAACCTTGTGATATGGAAGGGGAGCCACTTCCAAACACAGAACTAAAAGAGGTAATTTTGTTGTCTCGTGGTCGAAATTCGATTATAGCTTTCGTGTTTTGTTGTCTTATTATATTCATTCTCTAGGTTTGGCATGTCGCTAAGACACCCGAGAACGACAAATATCAATACACACACTTTGCACATAAGATCAATAGTTTCAATACCGCCCCTAAGAAGTTGTTGGCATCGGATTCACGGTTGCGCCCTGATAGATACGCCTTAGAGAAGGGTGATCTATCCAAAGCAGGATCAGAAAAGAGCAGGTTCGTTCCTCGACCCTTCGAATCTTTTCTTTAAGCTTTCTTTCATCAATTCAAATTCTGGGTTAGGATTTCATGCATTTTTCGTGTGGTCAGTTTGGAAGAGAGGCAAAGAGCTGAAAAGAGAACTCGAGAGGCGAAAGGACAGAGTTATATGCCCAGATGGTTTGATTTAACCGAAGAAGTTACATCGACTCCGTGGGGCGACTTGGAAATCTACCAATATAATGGTTTATACACCAAACATCGAGCTGAGATCGATAGCTCTGGTTCAAGCAGTAACGACGAGGTTGACGTTAAATCGATTGAATTCAACCCCTGGCAATACGGGAACTTGTCGTCGACAGATTAAAGCTCTCCTCTCCTCTCCTCTTGTGTTATTTGCTTGGCTTCTTCAGATAGTTGGTGATATCTTTCATCATTTGATATTATAGTTGTTATGTGTTGTTTGTTTATAAATACATAGAGCTTTTACACTTTGTAACTTTGTTATCAAAATCTTTGCCACTTATTTTGATCAATCCTTCAACTTTTTCTACCAATGTTTTGTTGTTCTTGGTGGTATAATTCATAATTATGTGGTTTGATTTAAGATTGCTTCTATTTCTTACTTCGATTTGATGAGTTTAATATGACTTCTCATAAAACGAGAACGAAAAAAAAAAAAAACTTTTACCCGATCAAAAGTTCTTTTAAAACTTGAATGTATATATGATTTCTTGGAATGAGTTGTTCGTCAAAAAGTAAAGTATAGATGCTAACAAACGTTTGATCGGCGACATTAAATATTGAACCAACTTTGGCAACTTTTTCAACATATCTTTATGACCGTGCAAGAACCAACAAACTTTAACTCGACTTTCAACACTTGTACTTTTCAACACTTGTACTATACCCTGTTACTTAAGAACGATAAACAAAACCAATTTCATTTATATAAAAACATTTCTAAATTAAAAGGAATTATAATTGTTCCCTACCAAAATTTTCTTTTCTAAAAGAAAAGGTTGATATGAAATGTGAAAAAGTTGATATCACTCAGCCAAGAAGCAAAGAAAAAGAAAAGGGTTCTCTCACATGATTCTTCACTCAAAACTAAAATTTACTCTTCTTCACCATTTTTCATTTTTAAGTTACCTAATTTTGTAGGCTTCTACACTCTACACTCAAAGATATCTAAACCTTCATAAACTTTAATTTTGTGAGATCCCACATCGATTGAGAAGATGATTGATATCAATTGGAGAGAGGAACGAGTACCAACGAAGACGCTAGGTCCTGAAGAACGTGGATTGTGAGATCCCACTTCGATTAGAGAGGAGAAACAAAACATTTTTTATAAGGGTGTAAAAACATATCGTTAACAGACGTGTTTTAAAAACCTTGAGGGGAAACACAAAAGGGAAAGTCGAAAGAGGACAATATCAAGGTTGAACCGAACCAAACTAAATTTATTACTAATTAAAAAAAAAAAATACATTTTTGCTTACCCTAAAGTTTTAATATACAAATATTTATTTTACTTTTATTTGTTTCATAATTATTTTTATTATTTGACTCCAAGGCATTAAAGAAAAAAATTTCAAAAATATATATTTAATTAAATAAATATTTGAAAATAAATAAATAAATATTTATCGTACTAATATTTTACTTTTATTAAAAATAAAAACAACAACCCAAAAACTTACCCAATTGAGCTAGGTCCGAAAAATGTTCTAACAGGTTAATTTTATTTGGGTCGTTGGACATTTAAAAAAAATATAAATAATTTGGAATATTAACTTACCTAATATCTAACTTGCCATATTATTTTTCACCTAAACTTTAGGTATCAATAATTAGGTTAATTATGCGGTTATAAAGTCAATTTGTATATAAATTTAATGAATAAGACATCAATTATCATTTTAAATATCAATAGTTGAATTCTCTATTCTATCCTCGTTGGACTAAAAATAAAATTGATGAAAATTGAATAACTCACATTACACTCACTTATAGCTACATCAAAACGTTCATTTTCTTCAAGTTCGATGTCAAAATAAAACAGACCTACAAATTCTCGAACTAAAATAGATTTAATTAAAATATTATTTTAGTCATTTTAACTTAATTTTAAGTAAATCTTAACATGTCTGGTTAGGTTACTTAAAAAAAAACATTATTATTAACATTTTTAATTAAATACTAACCATAAAAATTAATTTAGAATTTATGGAGAGGTGCAGCGTATTTATAGGATTAAATCTGAATTTAGTGATGGGTGATAATGGACGGTTGAGATCTTAAGGAATCTTGGGACATCCACGTAAGATTCCTTTCAAAAGGTTTAACCTTGACTTTTCGTCTTACGTGGTAAGGAAACGGTGAAAGAATAAAGAAACGATGACTTGGATTGTTATTTTTTTCCACGTCATCGGTGATTTTTATTTTAATTTCAACAAAAAATCACACCCAAAAGCTTCTCTCTTGACTCGCCGATGTTTTCGTCCTTCTGCTCTGTCTTAAACGCCGTTAACTCTGAGGACTGCAGAGGCCGTCTTCTCGAATATTCGCCTCACGCCGTCATTTATTATTTTTCTTATTTAGATCTAAATTTTAATATACTCAAACTATTACAATTAATTAAATAAAAACATATAAAATAATTTCTCGGAAATAAAAATTTATGAAAACTAAATTTAAAGAAAATGTAATAATTTTTAATTTAAGAAATTTACATGATAATATCAAACAAAAAGCGACCAATAGCAGACCGCGCTTTTGCCATGTAAGATTTATTATCCATGTCCCACGCGACTAGCTGCAGGTGAAGCCACGCGCAAAAAGATAATAAATAAATCCGGAACATGCTTATCGGGATAACTGCTCGAATATAATTAATAAATTTACACCTCACGTTGAGTCAAAATTACCAAATTAACCCCTGCCTACCCATTCTTTGTTAGCCGTTCGATTTTACGGGTATCGGAAAATCTCCACCGTCCAATCTTATTTCCTTGCAAAAAATGTGTTCGAACCCAGATGCAAAGATATAGCAAACCTCCGATCTATAACTCTTGTCTGTTTCTGTCACAAAATAAATGAATATAATAAATATTAAATACATATACTTTTAATTTAATCCATTAATTTTCTGATTCTTTTATTAAATTCTAAAAGTAAACTATATTAATTAGTGTTTTTAAAATTCCATATAAATTTCAGGATCGTAATATTTTATATGTGGAGGAAAATTATTTAGCGAGTTTTTTTTAATTTACTATAAAATTAAGGCAAGAAATGAAAGTGGTAGTTTAATTTAATTATGATAATTAATGAATTATAGTATTTAAATTTAAGATACAAGAGGAAACCCATTAAGAAAAATGACGTCTCCTAACTTTAATAATTATCTAAATATTTAAAAAACTAAAAAAAAAAAAAGAGTGAAAGTTAAACCAAAAAATAATAAATAATAATAAGTGAGCCTTTTTGTGACGCAACGTTTTTCTCGATCGTGCGGACCGCCGGCAGCCACAAGATTTAATGAAGAACCACGTGTCAAAATCTGAAAGTGCTTTACAATATGGTGGGTTCATCTGGTAGACAAGAACCGGTCTTTAGGTGGTTTTAGTCACCGGATATAGCCGGTAAACTGATGGGGACATACCGATAGGTCTGGTGAAGAGGGTCAATGGTATAAGATAGCTGGGGTTTAAACAAATGTTCTCTGGTGGTTTTCAGAGGGTTTTGGCGATCGGAATTTTTTAAAATTTATATAAAAAGAAAATAAAGAATTTGTTTTTCATATTTTTACGGCGAAGAAATTTTTTTAGAACTTGTTTTTGGTTTGGCGTTTGGAGTTTTTAGGATTAAATTGAAAAATTATGGGATAGGAAACGAGAGAATGTGGTGAAACAAAGACGATCTTCGTTTGTTTCTCCGATCTCTTGTGGGATTTACAGATCTCTTCTTCGCTTGCAAGTGGGGTTTTCGCCGGAATTTCATTTTCCGGTGAAATTTGGAAGCTAATTGTTTCTTCAGGTGAAGCATAACATTTTTTGTTTTGGTTTTTACCCATTTCTGTTTCGATAATTCTTCTTTTCTCATCGTTTGTAATGGGGGTTTTCAGAACAGTGCATTTGGTTTTTAGACAAAAACCTTGGGATTGTTGACAGGAATTGGAAGATGTAACGTCCAATTTTGCTTCAGAATTGTCGATTATTTGCAATTTTCGGTTTCTGTTCCTTTTTTAGTATCTGATCAGTCGAATGGGGTTTTGCTTTCGCTTATTTTGTTTGATAATTATTGTTTTTCTCCTTTTGATTTTCCTTGTGTTGTTCTGGATTTCTTAGTGGATTCCTCATTTCTTCTTCCTTTCTGCTTCTTGGCTAAATTTTTGCTTTGGGAGATTCGATCTCAGATTCTGCGACAAATCTCTTCAGAAATCCGTGGATGATCGAGAATCTTCCCAATTTTCTGTTCCGAGTTCTTGAATTCCGATCAACCTTCAGCTGTTTGCAGATTCCTGCATAGATATAGGAAACCATCCGTTTCTCATGGATTTATGTTTCTTTGTTTTCGATCATCCACTCAAAGGTTTTCTATCTGAAAATCTTTCCTGTTTTGAGTTCATAATTTATAATGACTGCATGCCTCATCTCTGATGCTCGAGTAATATTGTTTTGCATGGGGTTTTCCTCTTTCTGGAACGTCTCGCGGTTAACCTGCTTCATCCCATCATCACTGAAGTTTGTTTAAATTTGGGTTTTAGTTTGAGCGTCAGTCTCTCTGTTGAAATTCCAAGTTCTGGGTCTGTGCATGTTCGAGAATGTGCTTTTTTGGCCTTGATTTGTGTCAATATAAGCCTTGGAATTGTGAGTTGAAGCCAGAAAATGCTTTTGTTTTATTGGTTGTTTCCAATTTAATTTCTCTAGCTTGTAAAACAGATCTAGTTTGAGTTTGCCATTGGATCCTTTGGCTTCTCTGGGCTTCTTCTTTTATTTTTACCCTATGTGGTTTGTTGTTCTGTTCATAATCTGTTCATCTGTTTATCTCTTTTCCTTTACAGGAATTAGTTTGTGCTGTGACTTTGTGAGCAGTAGTCACAAAGTGGAAGTGTGTTGATCTCTGTGTACTGTTCATATTTGTGCTATGACTTCTAAAATATGGTGCTTCAGAAGAGGTTAGATTATGGATTTCATGACTACCAAGTGCCAACAATGCCTCGAGCTACCAGATCGGCTAGGGTACATGTTCTTCATAATTCTTGGCCATCGTTGCAAATTACTTAGAGATCTCTATCATCTGTTTCCTTGTATTATGATGAATTTTAATGATTTTCTATTTATTTCAGAAGAGAAGTATATGTAAAAAGGGCACTGAAAGTAGTCAAATGCGTGCGTTCGATTTGTTGGCCACTGTTGCTGACAAGTTGTTGCATGGGACAGAAGGTCCTACTACTAATACTATCGATACATCAACCGAAAAAGATAGGTACACGGTTGTGGACAAAGAATTGAATGTGGACAGTTTGTGCAAAGTAGAACCTTCTCAGGGCTTTGTCGCAGAGCTTGTTTTATCTGGTCATGATAATAAATGTGATTCAAAGGATTGTTTTCCACAGCATAATGAGCATGTTGAACATTCACTGCCATTAGCTTCTGAAGTAACGAATTTCGACAAGAACAACAATGAAATGGGAAATTTAGCTAGCGAAGTACGTGTAGGCTCCCCCAGTAGCAAGGAGTCCGATAACTGTGAATTGGATGGTAAAAATGAAGTTATAGTAAAATATGAGTTGCATAAAACTGAAGAGGTGCTTACTAGAACTCAGGATCGGGGGGATGACTCATGCAAGAGAGAGGATCCCATTATCTGGGACCAGAAAGCTTGTGTGTTGGGAAATTCGGTTAGTTGCGGCAAGATGACTCACAACAAACAGATTGTTCAGAACTCTTATTTTGCAACTCAGAATAATGTAAAAGTAGTTGATAGAGACGATGACGAAAACTCTTCTGGGTGTACTCACCCAGTCTCCTCAATAAAGTCCTTTAGGACAGTACCTAGTAGTAGAGACCGAAGGATAAAGAAAGTATCTGCTTCCAAGTCTTGGAAAGTAGTTCCAAGATATAGGGATGAATCGCTTTCTAAGACTGGTCAGTAATCTGCATTATTTTTACATTGGGCGTTTTATGCTTAAGCACTAGTTTTGATTCTATTTCAAATAGGTTGTTTTCTTTGTTCTAGATGGCGTTTGGAAATCAATGTCGTGCTGTAAGAGCTCTCATGACAGTTGCAGACCCCAGAAATCTCAAATGAATATTCCTTTTAAAAAGAGGAAATTCTTCGACTGTAGTAGCTCAGTGTCGAATTCTGATGGTGGAATTAACTCAGAGGGCGTTTCTGATTCAAATGGGAAGGTTGCCAAGACGGATAGCTCAGGTTCGTTCTTTAGACCGATGCCTTCGCTGCATTTAGAATAGCACTCTCATGTTGTTCTTATGTAGGGAGATCGTGTTCTGTATCAGGTCACGGCCATCACAAATCTTTCCAATCCAAGGATTCTCATGGTATGAGACCTTCTGATGGATTTGCTGCACTGAATTTGTCTTGGCTTATTATTTCTGCCACTGGCACGGCGATTATACATGAAGGCTTTTGTCTTTCTTTTTTACAGTGAAAATTAGGATAAAATCTTTTAGGGTGCCAGAGCTCTTTATTGAAATTGCAGAGACTGCAACTGTTGGTTCATTGAAGGTATGAAAACGATGGATGGATTATTTATCTTCTCATTTGTCGACTGTAAATTGGTTGCTTGGTTATAGACACACTATGACGTAGTTGTATGCTTAGCTGAGATATAGATGCATCTGTGATTTTTGGGCATCATAGTTTCTGATCTTGCTTAACCGTTCTGTAGAGGACCGTTATGGAAGCAGTGACGGCTATACTTGGCGGAGGATTACGTGTCGGTGTTCTTCTTCAGGGGAAGAAGGTTAGAGATGACAATAAAACTTTATTCCAGACTGGAATCTCTCATGACAACCAGCTCGATTCGTTGGGATTTGCCCTTGAGCCTAATCCTTCACGAACGCCTCTTGTGTTGTGCCAAGAAGATTCTCCATGTATTCTTCCATGTGATGCCCCGGAACCACTAACCAGGTAAATGGAACGTGGCGATGTTCCATTAGATGTGTTTTTAGTTGTTATCATATTGTAAAGCTGATAGCAAGTTGAAGCTTATCAATGCCACTCGTTAAGGTTTTTTCTTTTTTTTTTTTGTTTCGGGTTTGTCGAGAAAAGGGATGTCACTGTACCGTTTCTACTATTTCTTTCTTTTTCTTACTTATTTGATCGGGGCAACCGAACCACCCCAAGTTGGCCAGCTTAGTGGTCAATGAGAACCAATTTTAAGTCACGATGGCTAGTTATCTAAGATTTAATATCGTACGAATTTTCTTGGCAACTAAAATTACGATTATCCCACTAGAATAGTTACAGTAAGTGTGTATGAGCTCCTAGACGCTCACGAATTTTGAAAAAAAAAAAGTCCAAAAAAATTGTTAATCGGGTCATTATCATCATTCTGGTGTGATTTTCAGGTATTCACCGGATGTCTCTGCAGATCATCCAAGCAGTAGCAACGTGTTGCCTGAGCCTCATGGAAACTCTTTAGGCAATTTCATTGAAAGTGATCATGATTCAGCCCCCTCTCCGACCGATACGTCAAATCACAAAAGCACGGTGGACTCTAAAGCGCTGGTCACTGTACCAGCAATGACAGCAGAGGCGATTTCTGTGGTTCCCATGCATCGAAAATCAAAGCGGTCCGAGGTTGCACAGAGGCGAATTCGTAGACCCTTCTCTGTCGCTGAAGTGGAGGCATTAGTTCAAGCTGTTGAGAAACTTGGTACAGGAAGGTATATCTTTCACGTGCATATCGAAGTAGAAGTGATGTAACAAACTAGTCATTTGCAGATTTGTGATCAACAGTGAAAACATTTGCACATAATAGCTTTCGCAAATCGACTCTTGCCAAGGTGGCTAATATCTGTTATTCTGTAGGTGGCGAGACGTTAAACTCCGCGCATTTGACAACGCAAAGCATAGAACTTATGTGGATCTGAAGGTACAGAACCTCTTCTTCATTTTGAAATAATGAGTTCGATTCACTTTCTAATTTGGTTCACAACTCGGGTCTCACTTACAAAAACACATGTAGTGCCAAATCTGTAACCACAAGCAAAATACATAGTTGGTCTCTGTCACCCTGGTTGATGCTTGGATGTTTATATATGAATCAAAGGTATTGAAAATGGAGTGATTTGGCTGTGTGGATTCAGGACAAATGGAAAACACTGGTGCACACAGCAAGAATATCCCCGCGGCAAAGACGGGGAGAGCCCGTGCCACAGGAGCTTTTGGACCGAGTCTTGACCGCACATGCATACTGGTCAAAGCAGCAAGCTAAGTACCAGCTGAAGCGCCAGCCCGAGAGGTTTGTCCTTTGAGTTGGTTGGTTGGTTGGTTGGTTATATATAACATATAGCATATATATATATATGGTCGTTGTGACTATTCTTTTTTCCTTCTTTTTGGGGTGGGGGGGTTGGGTTACAAGAAAGGTGTTGTAAAAATTAAAAGTTGAGGAAGGGGTGGTGATATGATATGATGAAGCAATGGAGTGTTATATTTTGGTGTAATATTTGGTGGGTCTGTCCAAAGATTGGTTCTTTTCCTTCATTCATGCAGGGAGAGAGGCTGTTCTTCACAACTTGTATAAATCATTGTTGGAATAAGAGCTTGCTAACGGAATTCGTTTCATTTTCCATTCGATTTCATAACCTAATTCGATCTTTGTGTTCGGAACGATTATATTTAACTAAACCAAACCATTTGTCGGGATTGGTTTGATCTAGTTCTTTACTTTTCTCGATTTCTTGCATACTCATAGTTTGATGGAAGAATCCCCACACGAGGCCTTCACGAAGGTATACCCGACAATAAGTCTACTAGTCTAGTTTAACTTGATATTGTACGATCTAAGCATTGAAACTTGTCGGATATTTTATTGATTCATTTCTAAATCGCAAATTATCTTTTATTTTACAAATCCAAAGTGTCTTTATGTTCTAACATATTTTTTATTGTTATTCTTTGAATATATAATTTAAACTTTTTAATTTAATATTACTAGATTTCATATCGGTTCGAGAAAGAAAAGAAACCTTTCTTAAAAAGGTGCGGAAACATTTCCCTAATAAACACGTTTTAAAATCTTGAAGGAAGGCTCGAAAGGGAAAACTGAAAAAAGACAATATCGGCTAGCGATGAAATTGGACTTACAAATGGTATCAAAGCCAGGTTTCGGGTAGTGTATCAGTTAGGACGTTGGGCCCTCAAGGAGGGTGAAATGTGAGATCGCACATCAGTTGGAGAGGAGAATAAAGCACCTCTCCTAGTAGACGCGTTTTAAAATCTTGAGGAGAAGTCTGTAAAGAAAAGTTGTTAACCGTGGGATTGGGCTGTTACAAATTTTTTAATATTTTCGATCTATAAAATATAGATAAGCATACACAACATGATACTCGATAGTTGGCTGAAATTTTAATAAGAATAGATGTCACTTAACAAATAAATAAAAAACAATTATATGTAACTAAATATATATATTATTAAGTAATGAATTAATAGTTTTAATAGCTAATGTATTGCATCAAATCAATGCATTTTGTTAAAAGAATAAGAATAGATTAAAATAAATTGAGATTTTAATAAAACAAATTAATCCATTAAACAATTTAATTTACACATATTAATTAATTTAAAAATCAATCCTTTTAGTTTTCAGAAAATCAAAATTAATATTAAGAGGTGTGGACCACAGCCATTCATTTATTGGGGTATGATGATTGGCCAATGAGAAAGAAGAAAAAGACTATAAAATCAATAATAATACTTTTAAAATATATACATCTGTGGTTGCTAGAAAAATATGTGAAATAAATATATTAAATTAATAAAAATATCTTTAAAATTTTTAATGGATCAAAATTATAAAAATCTTAAAAAATCACTTACTTTATTTTCAAAATAGTATCTTTAAATTTTAAAAAAATTCATTAATATTATTCATTTTTTTAAAAAAGTTTTAAAATGTCCCTATTCTTAGCTTGGAATAATTCTATACTGGGATGTACGTGATTTAAAGACAAAACATGTTGGAAGGATTCTGGTAGAGTAGGTACCTTAATCATGTTGTTGGGGACGTCATGGGGTGAATCAAGTTCTGTTCAATTAATTAATAGAAAAAAAATAATTAAAAAAATAAAAAGTATATATATATATATATATATATATATATATATATATATATATAAAAGAATTGCTTGTTTTGATAGTAACAAGGCAAGAAATGGCACTATATTACAACAAACAATGTGGAATTTCAGTTTTGATATTATTGGTAGATAATATTATTTAAAATATAGTTCCAAAAAAGTAATTAAAAAAATATGAAAAAAATCCACCAATATCTTAAATTTATTTTTAAAAAATCCCATATGCACACAAAATCATAGAATTGCTATAATAAGAAGCGTTGATTTATTTATTTGGATCATGAGTATAAATTACTCCTTTTTTTTTTTTATAAAAAATTAATTAATTAATTAATGAAATTCTGTATTATGGTCAACACATTTTGGCCTCACATGATCTAATATTATTGAAGCGTCATTTTCATACTCGTTTTTCTACGTGTATAATAAATAAAAAAATAAAAACCCGTTTTTCTATGAATATAAAACATATAATAACAAAAATTACTAAATAATACTATAATATATACATATTTAATTTCTTAAAAATGTCCATTTAGCCCATATATATTTTTTAAAATATATTGCTGGATAAAATTTAAATACAAAAATGTTACCAAATTTAAATTTCATTTATATGGTCAAACTAAATATAATTAATAACTAGTTTTCTTTAATTTAATTTGTATAACGACTTTCCTATTATATATATATATATATATAAGTTTGGGTTGAGTTGAATTTTTGTTGAAAATTTAGGTCAATATTTGACTCGACTAACTCGGAAATAGAGTTATAATCCAATCCAGTACCCTAATTTTAAGATTATTATTAAGATTAAGAATATTTATTTGACATTTGTAAACCATGTTAGTGATGGGTTGAATTGTAAATGTTTTATATTTTAGCTTTATGAAAATTTAATTATTAAGGTAAAATATATTACGGATAAATATGTTTTTTTTAAATAATTTTAAAAAATAGCGACATGATAACCCAATCCAAAAATAAATGATTGAGTTGGGTTGGGCTGGAGGGAGAACTCTATTCAAGTTACTCGAATCATCATCTCAATCAACTAAAAATTTCGAGTTAGTCTAAAAAATTAATATGAGCATGATTTTGTGTCCATATTTTCTAGTAACTTTTGATTTTGTTCTTAATTAATAACACCACGTGGACGACCCACGCTCATTAAAGTTCCCACCAATAATATTATGCAAATGAGACTGACACTAAAAAAAAAAGTTAATTAAAATAAAATTTATAATAAATTATAAAAAAAAATTGAATTTCGTATTAAATTTAGTAGGTTTATACAAAATTTTAATTTTTTTTTAATATGCTAAAACCTGGTTTATAAATAGTGATTATTAAAAATAAAAACTAAACTATTTATTTAGCTATAATTAAATTCATATTGATTTATGGTTGAAAAAATATATTTTATTTCTTTTATTTAAAGCCAAAAATATAAAATAGCATTTTCTTTTGGAAAAGATGAACGGACTTTAGATGCACGTGACTTGGACCAGCATTGAGCCGCCCCTGAATCTAGAGAATCTAGATAAGCATCTTCCTAAGATTCTAAATTCCATAAAATAACCACTATATTAATTTATATTTATTAATTTAATACTTATATTGTTACATAAAATTTAGTTTACATTAATTGCGTTTATTATTTTAAGACATTAATACAAAAAACTAATAATGATTATATATGAAATAATATTTATTATAAACATAGGGTTAGCCGTTCCTAAGCCTAAAAATTATATTAATTTATCATTAATCTTTTCAAATTCCAACCCAGCTAGGCACGCATTTCAGCAAAAAGTCCGTGTGATGAAAGTTAATTTTTTAATTAATGTTTCGTGTCGTGTACTTGTGCAACCATTCGTCATAGTTTTGATGGTCCCTTTTCAAACCAGGTCCAAAGAAAAAACAAAATATTATCTTGTCGTTCGTCAAAAAGGTCTTTATGACTTCCTCCAAAGAGTTATAGGGACTATTTAAAAGACAATAACATGAATGAACGGATATCACATCCGAATGGAAGCTATCGTGAGTATACTATTTATATCAATAAAATATACATTTTTTTACTCGACATCAAGTGCCAAATTCAATCATTAAATAATAATAATAATAATAAACTTTAAAATGTTTTATATTAGTAAGAATTTTATCCATCATTATTTTATTAATTATTATTATGAGAATTCCATCCATCATTATTAAATAATTCAATAATTAATTTCCATCATGTGTAATATTTTCTTCCCAATTAAAAATCAAATAATGAAAAAAAAAAGGGAAAAAATAATATTTATTTTGAATAATTTTCGAAGAAATTAGTTTCTTAATTCACAAATTATTTTTTACCAAACCCAAAATTGGAAATTAAGAAAATAAAAATTCTTAATGTGATGACTTTTTTTTTCCTTTTTTTATTTCTATTTTCCGTTGGTCAACACATCTTGGGTATCAAGAAACAATCAATAATTAAATAATTAAAAAAAAAAAAACCCAAAATCGTGTTGGCCATTATTTAATTCATTTGCTTTTGACCAATCCCAATATTTTTCCTTTTTCTTTTTTGGTTTTAAGAAAAATAAATTTAAAAAGAAATAATTTATTTATTTATTAAATTTTGTATGGTGAAGACAACGCCTTCCTAGAACCATCGTCGCCGAAATGATCCGACACTTGCCCGCTTGACTCTTAAATACTATCAAAATCCGATGCTGTGTTCATATTTCCTGAATTTCCACCGACTCCTCTTTGGATTTCTTCCCTTTTTTTTTCTTTTTTATTTTCTGGGTTCTTCATTTCTCATCTCGTTGATCAAACCCTTTTAATTTTATGGACAATCTCCTCGACGATTTCCCCAATTCATGGAATAATTTTCACTACAACCCTCTTCTCTCAAATGGGTTCTTTAACGTCAACCGAGAAATCTTCGACCCTCTTCATCATAATTCGTCGTCGTCGTCGACATCGCCGTCGCTGTCGCCGTCGAGCACGGAGGGTAACTCACCGGATTGTCACGACACCTCAAATACGATGCTAAAGTACATCACGGAGATGCTGTTGGACGAAGAGGAAGATCTCAAAACTAAGCCCTGTATGCTTATTGACTGTTTGGCTCTTCAAGCTGCTGAGAAATCTTTTTATGATGTTCTTGGTAAGAAGTATCCTCCTCCTCCAATCGGCCTTGGCGATTCTACTCAGAATTTTAGCTCTGATTTGGGTTTTTTTAAGGCTGAAGATGAATCTGAATCTTTTAATGGAGATTCCTCTGTTTTTCCCCCTTCTGATAAACCTCTTTTGAGTCAAGATTCCTTGTTTGGGATGCAATATATTTTCCATTTTAGGCAAGGAGCTGTGGAGGCTAGCAAATTTCTTCCTGTTAATGGTAAATTTGGAACCATTGACTTGTATAATGATTCATCTGCTTCTGTTCCTTCTAGGGCTGTTGATTTTTCTTGGCTTGCTGCTGTGGGTGATGCTAGATCCACCCTTCCAAATGGGTTGTTTAGAGAAAAGAAGAATCATCAAAGGGAAGACAGTGATGAGGAGTTGAGAAATACTAAACAATCTGCTACTTTTGCTGATGATAGTTCATTGTCTGAGTTGTTTGATGAACTCTTGCTGTGTAGGGGTGAGAGCCGGCAGTCCCCATCATGGGGTTCGGACGAATCGTCGGAGAACGAATCGAATAAGAAATCGAGAAAGAAAACGAAAGGTAAGAAGAATAGATCTAGGAAGCAAGAGAGTTGTGTGGAAGTTGTGGATTTATGGACATTGTTGATTCAATGTGCTCAAGCTGTTTCAAATTATGATCAGAGGACTGCTAATGAGCTGCTTAATCAAATCAGGCACCATTCTAATCCATCAGGGGATGGAAACCAAAGATTAGCTTATTTCTTTGCTAAGGGCCTCGAGACTCGGCTTGCGGCCGGGACGCCGCTGTATATGCCGTTTGCAAGCAATGAAACCTCTGCTGCTGATATCTTGAAAACTTATCAGATGTTCATCAAGGCATGCCCCTTCCGGCGGATGTCATATTTCTATGCCAATAGAACAATTCTGAAGCTAGCTGAGAATGTAACAAGGCTGCATATTGTTGATTTTGGTATATTATATGGTCTTCAATGGCCTTGCTTAATTCAGCGGCTCTCCAACAGACCTGGTGGACCTCCCAAGCTGAGAATCACAGGGATTGAGCTTCCTCAGCCAGGCTTCCGCCCCGCCGAACGGGTCGAGCAGACTGGACGTCGCCTTGCACATTACTGCAAAAGATTCAATGTGCCATTTGAACACAAGGTCTTGGCTCAGAAATGGGAAACAGTTAAGTATGAGGATCTTAATGTCGATAGAGACGAACTGACTATTGTGACTTGTATGTTCCGAATGAAGAACGTACCCGACGAAACCGTAGTTGCAAACAGTCCAAGAGACAAGGTTCTGAAGTTGATTAGGAAAATCAACCCAGATCTGTTCATTCATGAAGTCACCAATGGTTCATTCAACACTCCATTCTTCAACACAAGGTTTAAGGAGGCACTCTTTTACTACTCATCGTTATTCGACATGTACGAGGCGACTGTGCCTCGAGATAATCCACAGAGGTATCTATGCGAAAGGGAAATCTTAGGAAGAGATATCATGAACGTTATAGCGTGCGAAGGGCTCGAAAGAGTCGAAAGGCCAGAGACATACAAGCAATGGCAAGTAAGGAACACTAGGGCCGGGTTCAAGCAAGTGCCATTAGACCAAGAACTGCTGAAGAATGTGGAGAAGATAGTGAACACAGAATACCATCAGGACTTCGCAGTGGATCAGGATGGAGCATGGATGTTACAAGGGTGGAAGGGACGGATCATCGACGGGTTGTCGTGTTGGGTAGTCGCATAACGTGCCAGGACAGGAGGTACTACAATAGCCATAGAAGACTTAGAAGTCTATAATATTTATATCCATTATGAACTCTTGTGTCTACTAGTTATTATGTAGCTTGATTGCTGGAAGTTTTGTATATAAGGATGTCAAAATTTGGGCATGAAAATTACATTTCCTCTGCTGGATGATCTAACCTGCAATACCCATTTCTTAAATTTTTAGATTTCGTGTTTGGATTCCAAGAAAATCTCCAAATTTTCCTTTCCATGATTCTGCTAAACAAACACCCTATCAATCCAAGCCTACTCAGAACGGACTTGGTCCATCTCTTGTTCTGATAACATGTTAAACTCGATATAATCTCAATTGCAATAGATATGAAATGAGGTTTGGGCATAGTTGTATAGAGAGACAAAGAAAACTCTTTCTTAGTTTGAGGTTAATTTATCTCTCGAGACAAAAAGATCGATACGAGCATTCAAGGAGTGAGATAATTAAAAAAATATTATATTATTATCGATTATCTTGATGATAGTAGAATATTGTTTGGGCTTTGATTTATTCTCTCGAGTCTTCCTTTGATCTAGACTCATCAATTTCTTCGTTTGATGTGGAAGAAACCATTTGGTAAGAACAACTCTTCAAATCATTAGTTTATAAATTTAGGGTAAACAATATTACGTAATATTATTTTGATTTATATCTCTTAGCTTTAGTTTCAATTTAGTCTTTTTACGGAAATTATACAAATTCTAATTATACCGAAAGTAAATATAAATCGGAGTTTAAGTTTCAATTACGAGAATTGATATAATCTAAATACGAGAGGAAAAGGAACAAAGATTTAGAACAATATAAATAATAGATTAAGAAAAAGAAAACAAAAATCTCATAAGAAATTCAGGAGGAGGAGGAGGAGGAGGAGGAGGAGGAGGGGATCGATCTGCTATAATCGATGTGGGATTGCGTTAAGTTCATCAAACTCATCAATGTAATTACAGATTGGATCTAATTGAATCGTAGAAAAATGAAGTCCCACCTTCTTCTCGATGGGGTTGCAGAAAAATTTACATCAATTTTATGAAGGGATCTCAAGATCCAATTCGCAAGAAGAAGGGAAACAAATCAAATTTCGGAAGCTACTGAAAAAGGGTAACAGATCTTTCTTCATTTTGTGTTTTCATACCCTTTCTTACGAATCGCCATGCTTGTGCCAACAAACGAGCATCGCCACGCAGCGTCTCATGATGTAGAATCGGGCCTTCTGTTCCTTAGCTAAGCTGCTGTACTTACGCCCTGCTGAAGAAGAGCTCTTCTGCGAGTAACTTCGAGGGAGATCGTTGGGGGTCTTGGAAGTGGAAGCTGGGAAGGTTCTCTGTGAAGAACATCGCAGTAATGGCGATTTGGTGGTGGAACCACTCCTTGTGAACGACGACTTGGGATTCGTAGAAGACTGGTAACTACTTCCTGAACCTTCCTTCTTTGATAGATTCCAATTCTCGTCCATTTAATGCGAGGTGAGATGGGGATGCAGGCAAGGTGTTTGTGAAAATGCCTGTGAGAGTGATAGTTGGTTTGAAATGCCAGAAAGAGATGCAGAAGAAGAGTGGGATTCTAGTGGGGTATTATGATGTACTACTTAAAGAGCACATGATTGAGATTCGAGAGGAGCTGTGAATTTATTGGAAATGAGAGTGGTAGAGACTGATCAATGATCATCTTCTACTCCCAATTAAGCCATTGTGGGCTTTTTATTTGTGGGTCATGGTGGCGGAGTTTGTGCCCATTTGGTGATTAATATTTGATTTTGCAGACATGGGCATGTGTTTAAAACTGATGCTCTTTCCTTTTCTCTCTGTAAAATTTGGTAATTTGAAGCTTTTTGTACCGTGAAGATCTATCGTTTTCTTTGCATTACAGTCACTTCTTTGTGTGCATTGCTGCTGCTCTATCATACATGATTCTCCTCTCTCTGTCTTCACATTCTTCTCTGTTCTGTGTGTGTGTGTCTTAGAGAAAGAACAAAGAGAGACAAACAAAGGCATCCATTCAATCAGGGGAAGTGGAAAGGACACAATTTGCTAGTTGTTTATGACGTGTAAGGTATGTGTCTCACTCACCTCAAATTCTACAAATAGATCAAATGCTTTTCAAAACAAAACAACACAAATTCTATTTTTGTTTTCCCTTTTTTATTTTCTTTGAAATGGTAAGTATAGGCCGAATGAGGGCTTTGCCCTTTTCTTTTTCCTTTATCCTTTTTCCTCCACATTTTCAAAAGGTGGGGAACATGCAATTATTTGCCTATTTTTGTTCTTATTAGAAGAGAAGGGATCTATGACTCAACCTTTTCTTTCCCCCAGTCCTTTCAGCTACACTTGCATCATTTTCTCCCTCCTTCGAGTATGAGATCATATCGTTTGGAGGGTAGAACGAAACATTTCTTACAAGAATTTAGAAACTTTTTTCTAGTAGACGATAATATCTACTGGTGGTAGGCTTGAACTGTTACACAAGTGGTATCAAAGGCAGACACTAGGCGGTGTGCCAGCGAGGACGCTAGGCTCCTAAGGGAGTGGATTGTAAGATCCCACATTGGTTGGAGAAGAGAACAAAACATTCCTTATAAGAGAGGAAAGCTCTCTCTAGTATACGCATTTTAAATCTATGAGGATGACGACGATACGTAATGGGTCAAAACGGACAATATTTGCTAGCGATGGGCTTGGACTGTTACAAATGGTATTAGAGCCAGATACCGGGTAGTGTGCCAACGAAGACGTTGAGTTCCCAAAGAGGGTGGATTGTGAGAATCGCACATCGGTTGGAGAGGGAAACGAAACATTCCTTATAAGGTGTGAAAACCTCTCCCTAGTAGATTTGTTTTAAAATTATAAGGTTGATGACGATATGTAATGAGCCAAAATGAACAATATCTACTACAGTAGACTTCACTCAAACCCTTTTTGGTTTTACCAGTGGGTGTGCCTTTAATTGTATCTAGTGAAGTCCATATCCCAAAAAAGCAAGCAATTTAAGAGGCAAAAGTGGAAAGAAAGAGACACCATTTTCAAAGAAACTTAAACAAATACGGTGCTGGTGATGCTGAAGTTGAGTGGGTTAGAAGAATATTAAGCGTTAGGAGGGGAGACATATATATAAACTAGAGTTTGATTAAATGGTCAAACAAAAGTAGTTGGTGGGTCCAAGAAATGATCACATGTGATTGTGGTTTTACAGATAAAACACAAAATGCAACAGCTCTCTCCATCTTCTCCCTGCAGTTGAATATTAATATTAATATTGTTTAACAAATTGCTTACATTATTAATCATGTGGGACTCAGAAAGTGGGGTTTTTGAGTGTCCCACATGCAATCATGTGAGGTTAATATTTGGAAGGGATAGAAAATGGAGGGGTGGGATTTTGTTTTCCCTCCTACTTTTGTACTCCTATCAATATTTTATCTTTTTCTTTCTTTTATACCTCTGATTGTGATTTCATTCTAAATTTATGTCCATTTTTTTTTCTTTTTTGAAATCAAAACTGCATGTGTTGTTACTAAAAAAGGGAGAACTTAAGAAAACCTCATATCAGAACTGCAAAATTGAAGGTTGGGTAATGACTTTTGGAAAAGCTAAGTGAATGTGGGTTTGGAGATGCATTATCGGTGCATAATGCCATTGCTTGAATGTTTTTTAACTTGAACATTTAAAGCTATCTCTACCCAGATTTAATATCTCTTCAGATTTTGATAAAATTAGTCAAATGCCCTCCCAATACGGAAAAATTAGTACAAGTCTCTTTTGGAGGGCAATGAACTAGAATGATTATCTCTAATAAGTATTGTTGGGCGCTACACTGTATAATTAAGAGATGAACCTTATTTTTCACTTGGTCAATACTGATATTTAGATGTCCTTGCTGCTCCTTGATTAGATATTTAGATGTTCTTGTTGCTCCTTGATTATCTCAAGCAACAAGTATACATTGTAAAGGGATTGTAGAGAACCAAGTTCGAATTGGAAAGGATCTAAGTATCATTGAGGAACCTAAAGTTGTTCACCATTTTAATATTGTTTTCAATAAAGGTTTTTTGGGAGTATCCTTGAAGCTTAACAAAAAAGAGTTTTATGAGTGTTTTTGGAGGACAAGAAATCAATATGCACTTTATGATCCAAGTTTCTAGCCCTGTCTTTATATCAAATCCTCTACATCGTTTCTAATCATCTCCTAATATCGAACCCTATTGCAGGATCTTATGTTGTCAATTCAATTCAAATTTCTAGTCGTCTCTTCATATCATACATTATACATCGTATGTCTTGCTGTCTCTTAATATCATACCTTATACATAGTCATCTCTTATTTTCTAGCCTTGATATCAAACCCTATACATCGTATTACCGAATCTTATCTTATGTTATCACTTATAAGATCCAAGTTTTTAACCCTCTTCTAATATCAGACTCGAAGTCCAATAAACATTTAGTGAACTAGTTGGAGCTACTCATCAAATTGCTTACGGTAAAAAATAGTTGAACTAGTAAGTTTTTAGTAGCATTGCTCAAAAATGGGGTTTTCGACCCTCCCCATGTATTTACATTGGTACCATAATATTGTTCTTTTAGTGCTAATCGGACGAAGAAAATATACAAAATACTGAAGAACTTTACTAGAGTCCTATGCCAATCACGCGCAGACGCTAGCCTAGCCACCACTCAGATCACCGCCGCCGGCCACTGTAGGAACCTCCAAAAAATATCCTTCAAGATCGTCTGGCAGTTGAAAATATTCATTCGCTGGAGCGTCGCGCTTCTTTGCCGCCGCAACCGCCTTTTTCCTCGGTGGCGGCGGTGGCACCTTCGCCGGCTGAATTCGATACTCCTGTCGCTCCGGCGTCCGGTATCCTTCCATCGGATTCCTCTGAATCTGAGAAGTTTTTAAGGAAAGATGAGAGAGTTTTTTTTTTTTGTTTTAACTTGCGGGTGACTAAAATTTTGTAGTGGATACGAGTAACTGCTAGGTGTTCTTGGACATGCACGTGTCATAATCTGGTGAGGCTGCAATATACGTTGATCTACGTGGCTTGTTTCCACCATCCCACCTGGATTCTGAGCTGTCACCCTGAAAGAAATAGAGCGGGATAAAAAAGAATTGTTGGGCCGGGCCTTAC